AAGGAGGAGGAGGAGGAGGACTGGGCTGATTCTCTCGGACGGACGGCGGGCGCCGGCCGGCAACTTTGGAGCGTTTCGGAGTTTCCGCGGGAGAGCTTTGCCCGGCCTCCTCTGGCTGGGCGGGGATGCCGTTCGCTTCCAGCGAGGCTGCAAACTGACCCTGAGAGGCGGAGTCGAGATCCTGCCGCGAAAGGGAGTAAATATTTTTAAAAAATACATTAGGATTAGCATTTTCACACCGGACACTTTCCAACCTGACGCTTTCCGAGTTTCCCTGGGGAATTCATTGCGACTTGATTCCGAGCGAAGGACAAGGAGCATGAGATCCCAGCTGACATTTTGTGCACCCTGTGTTAGAGACTGATGAGAAATGTTGGGTTTCTGGGACTTCATCTCCCCAAGGCAAGCATGATTGTAGGGTTACAGGAGTTGTAGATCCCAAAAGGAACTTTTCATTCCTTGGGAAACAACCCTTCTGTAATGAAATTTACTTCCAAGTCAGCATGCTGAGGAATGCGCCGTGGGGGGGGGGGAGGGCTGGGAGTATGCCTCTCCCACCTCTTCATTTTCCACATATGTTGTATGTGGGTGAATAAAACAGTGTTTATACTGTAAATTCTGTGTGTGTGTGTAACTAAGTGATACATTCCTTTGTAAAAACATAACTCCCCCCCCCCAATTACTCAGGCTGAGTTAATAATATTAAAAGGTACATGCCACAAACAGACTGGTTTGCAAATGGCTTCCCTATTGCACTCTAGCACCATTCAGAGACTGGGGAAAGATAATGCACAGCTAGGGGAGGACTGTCTTTGCAGCTATTATAGACTATAATTATCATTATTCCATACCATTAACCTTGCTAGCTGGGGTCTCTGACAGTTGAGGTCTAAACATCGCAAAGGCCAAAGTTTCCGCACTCCTGGGGATAATGAGCGGGCCGGTGCTTCACCTACGGTTTCATTCTTATGTCTGAGGCGCCTTTCCTATTTTTAGATCTGCGGTGTGCTGATTTTGATTTTGGGCTTGTGTGATTGGCTTTATTTTCTTGCTAGTGCACTTGAGATCCACTGCTGATGCAAAAGACACAGAAAACTAATTTCAGGGACAGGTGGAAAGAAGGTGAGCAAGTTCATCTTTTGAAACAAAAACAACAAAGAATCTAGCTTTAAGAGCCATGAGCTTTAGCTGGCATCAGCTTTTGTGGACTGTAGCAGGCAACATGGCAGAGCAGAAAGTCTGGAGGTTAGCACTTCTATTCCCTTTTGCCCTGTTTCATCCCTTCATGTATAAGTACAGTATTTACATTAAGTAGTGGCAGATGAGGTATAGCTGTCTGTCTGTCTGAGGTAACTGATGAAGTGGTTTGCAGTTCTTGAAAATATGTGTCAAATAAAATTTGGCAGTCATTAAGCTGCCGCAAAAACTCTTGTGCTTCTTTTATAATTACTGTGTGTCATCGAGTTGTTTCTGACTTATGGTGATCTCAGGATTTTCTAGGTGAAGAATATCCAGAAGTGGTTTACCATTCCCTTCTTTTTTGGGGGGGGCACCCAAGGACTGTGCAGCTTGCCCAAGACCACACAAGATGGCTCTACTCACACGAGGCAATTGAAATCCCTGGCTCTGCAGGAAGACATCTAAACCACTGAGATATCCAGCCAGCTTGTACCTTCTTAGAAAGAAAGAATTCAGAGACCAAGAATTTTAGAACTCACAGGCTGAAATTCAGTCACAAGCTGTAACTAGAGTTACCCACTGAATCAGTGGAAATTTGGTGAGTCATCAGCTCCATAAGTTCCATTGATTCAATGGGCCTACTCTAGTTGTGGCTTTCTGCTGGATTTCAGTCACAGCATCCTCCACAAAAATCCTGTCCTGGTTATTTCAAACTTTCTTAATTATATCAGTACGAGAGGTGGAATAATTTTCTTGCTGCATCTGTTAAAACAGCTGGAGTCTCTAGTTCTTTTTGATCTGATGTAAATCACCCAGAGTCTACCCATGGATCCTAGTCTACCTACCACATGCCTTTGCTGTAAGGCAGGGCTGAGGAGCCTTTGAAACTGTAGACAGATATTTTTGATGACAGATCCCATCAGCATCACCATCCAGCAAGTGAACCTGGGAGCTGCAAGCTAGAATCTTCTATTGGAAAAAAAAAACCTCCATAATTTGTCTGTATCATTTTCATGACTGATTTGTACAGACCCTGGAAACTTTTTTCTTTCTTTTTTTAGACTGCAGGTCCCCAAGTCCCCTAGAAAACATGCTTGGAGTTGCCAGGCCAGGAAAATAAATAACTAATATATATAAAAAATGCTTCCAAACTCTGGCTCAGTGACAAAAATGCCTACAAAATCTTCCAGTGTGCAGATTCCTGCTGTTTTCTCCCTACTCATACCAATATAAGTAATTTGGCACTACTACAGGCTGAAAGGGAGGGGTTCATTCTCTTTCCAATTTAGAAACACTTCCCTACCTGTTTGCCTGGAGGCTGTTTTCACTTTACAAGCCTAAACATAAATATCTTTCCAGGGCAATAAACTTTTTTTTCCTTTCTCCCTCCCCCACCCCCACTCTTTTTTAATAACATTGCTATAAAGCCAAGCAGAATGGAAGAATATTATATTGAAATTGCAGTGTTTCTGCAGAGACAATTGATAGCTGGGGTCTAACTCCTTGTCATTTTATGGGTTGTGAGAGAATTCTTCTCCCAGAACAGCTTAAGTGGCGATGAAGAAAATTCACCTTTTTCAGCAATGTAAGATAACTTCACTTGCATCAAGATAGGTCTGTTTTGGGTAGAATTCAGTCCTCCTGTGTCCTCAGTGTTTTCTTGCTCTCTAGAAGAGGCTCCCATTTGCCAGTCTCACTCTTTGAATTTCTTTCCATGGAGTTTTGAATGTATGTGCTTTCTGCAAGGCGGTTGGGGTTACTGTGTTTCCCTTTCTACCACATAGCTTTTCATTGCTCTGCAGCCTCCCTGGCTGCCCACACTTCTGTGTTTTGTCTAGGTGTGTGTTTGATCTAAAGTAGAATCTTTCCATTTGGCTCCATGGAAGCACAGAAAGCCAAGGAATATGTTCCCTGTGAAGGGTGATTGATTACACGATGAGAGGAAGGTTACTCTGCTCAGCTATGTTTAACTAAGGTAAGCAGAAAAATTCCCTCTACCCACAAGGATTTCAATTACATTTTTTTTTGTCTTTTGAAGAGGGGGAAGTGAAAACATTTCCTTTGATGTCAGATTGAAGGAAGATGTTCAAAAAGTTGGCAGAAAAAAGGTAGCCCTCATTTTCATTACATATTTCATTAAGCCTCTTTTCCACCTTCACTTATTGCCTGTTGATCACAGGAACAGAATAGGAAAATCTATCAGTGTCTCTTCATCTCACATTCATGTTTTTCTAAAATTCAGATTCCTTTTATAAAAATATTCACAAATTTAGGGCAAAAAGTACCATATGTAACCTACCTGCATGTAAGTGTTAAGGATGAGCCTTTCAGGGAGGAAAATGGCAACCCTAATTCAACACGGGTAGAACACACAAAGGATTTCAAACTAAAGCTTTTAAAAGTTAAGCTTTCAAACCTCTTGGTATGGATGAAATTATCTGGCCCCTTTGGTTCTTCCTAGATTCAAGTCTTTTTAAAAATTTATTTAAACCTCACATCCATTCCATCATAATTGTAAAGATATGTGTGGAATTTAGTAAATTCTTATCAGAAACAAGCAAATGCTTTTTAAAATCCATCCCTTTCACTGTATGTCAACAAGATTTGAAGAAAAAAGATTTTACAAGGCTCTGTGCTCCAAATCTGAGAATAAAATATAGTTTTACTGTTTGAACTGTTTGGAGGTAACACAGTAGATTTATTATTTTTTGTAGAGTGAATATAGTTTAACACTTCTTTGCAAGGTACCTTCTTCTTCTTAGGCATCCTTCAGTCTCGAGAGACTATGTTAACGTGCTCTGAGCTGGAGTATCCTCTCCAGAGCATGAAGCCTGGGTAAAATCATATGGAGGATAGGCTGTTACCCAACCAGTTGTATTGGTTCTTGCCTTTCCATTGGATTATTTCAGCAACATGGAGAGGGGGGATTTGCTGCATGGTATCATCTTTCTACATAAAGCTACCGTCATTTATATTGTGTGTTTTGAAGATGCTTAACAGAATCTTTCTTTGAGTTAGAGAGGAAAGTGGGTAATTATTATATCTTTGGATTTTCAGCAGAAAAGTCAAGGTTCCAAAAAACCAAATAAAGCATGCCCCCCTTCTAAAAACATTGTATTCAGATCCTGAGCTTTCTGGCAGTGGCCAGAAAGAAGCCCCAGCATCATCTCTAGCTGTGCTGGAGCACGGATTCTGGGAGACGTAGTCAAAAGGAGAAACATTTTCAAGCTCTGACAGCTCACATAAAGCCACCGAATACTATAAATTTCTGATGAAAATTTCCACCCAAGGTAAAGGAAAAATGAGACATTACTCTCTGTTTTGTTTTGTATGTGGAAT